CGCGGTTTAGAAAAGGTATTAAATTTACTAGGAGGGAAGGGAGAAATAAATCGATCGTGTGTTTGTGAACGAGGACTTGTGTAAGAAACTCAATTACGGACAGATTAGTGGCCCGATAAGCTTGTTTTTGTTAAGAAATAATTAAAGAATAATGTTAAGAAATAAGTTTCATTTTTCTGGAATTCCCAAAAAGAAATTTGTTATGGAATAATTGAAAATTAGTGAAGTACCGAACGAACGAAAAAAGATTTTTGCACTTATTATGAAGGGTATTATTAAAAGTATAATATTTAGCGTCTTAATATTAATTAGTAATATTATCTTTTCTATTATATATCAACAAAAAATATATATATATGTTTCTTTCTATTTTGCTCCAAAAGTACAGTATTTATTTTTATTTTCGTGCATGTGGGACTTAGCACTTTCGCTTAGACTGTTTGAAGGATCCCGACCAAATGGTCAGATCCAACATTAAAATACGAGACATTATAAATAGAAGAGTTTAAATTAAAAATGTTTTAATTCCTCCGAATAAAAGCGGGACTGAACGTCATTACAAAAAAAAAAATTATTTCCGACGTTGTATAAATACAGCGTTTTTAATTCATAGAAGTATAGTTAACCGTTCATATTACGGACACCATCCGTAATTGGGTAGGTTACCCTATCTAGTTTAATTCTCGAACGAAAAACCGCTACTCGATTTTTCTCCGCGAATACACTGTGTCCCGGAGGTTCCTGCGTACATACCGAGTTAATTACGGTAGCCATTCTCTATATTAAAGACAACGTTTGACCGCGGCTCGTCGTTTGCTCTGTTTCCGTCGGTCCTCGGTGTTCCAACCCCGTTAAACACCGGCGGAGTTCGCAGTGGCGGGCGGTGAACTAATTAAAGTAATGAACTGGTGAATTTACGCTGCGTCGAATGAAATATTTCAGCGTTCGGTATTCGTCGAGCCGTGTTATTAGGCCAAGGTAAACACCGGTCAGTATATACCATACGCACGAATTAAATTCGTTGTTTTCAGTTAACGGATTCACTCGGGCAACAGGATGGAATCTATTTATCTGGATAACAAACTTTTTCCGTGACATCGGAAGTACGATTGAAATACCGGATGATTCACGAGAAACAGAACATTTATGTCTCCGTTAGGATTGAAGATAGAAGAAAATGTTAAAGAGGAAAATTGTACTGTACAAAGATGACAAATATGATATAAAAACATTTTCTGTTTGTCTTCAAGGTCTTTTGAGGGTCATCGATGATTTTTAAATGGTATTGTGTATTTTTTACTTCATAATGTAGTAGCTGATGACAAGACAAGTTCAACGATGTTGTACATTATGACCTTCTAATGACCTTGGACTTATGAGTAGGTATAGTTTGACTACCCCGTGTGATATTAGTTCAGCGGAAATTTAGTTTCTTCAGCCATTAGGTTCTCGTCAGAGAAAGCTATTCGATTCAGCGAACAACAGTAAAGGCCGATGCACCTCTACGTTCCCTTTGGAACATAGTGACACAGATATTCATGATGTATACTATGTCTGAGGATACTATCAGATGGTAGTGTACGTAACCCCTTAAGCGAAATACATTTCAGGGTTGTTATTAAATCTGACTCGGAATAGTGACAAACGATACGAAAACCGCCCCACGGTACAAGTGCACCGGCAATTATATCGTAATATCCTGTTACAAACGACCTGGATACACCCAGGTGTAAGAGTGGGGGGTTGGTATATATGTGTGTGCAATTATCCCTGAAAAATGAACACGCTGCACCGGGAAATGCACATAGGTATTGCGCGAGCTATCCGCGAGTAACGAAGGGTCGGGCGAAGCTCGAAGGTATGCCTTTCATAAAACTCTGCGTGAACGTAATTACGCGCGACTATGAACCCGGTGTTAAAGGGTCCGTATTCCTACCCCCCCGTGCAATTCCATCCAAATGAATGCACCCAGGACAGGGTGGGTATCGGCGATGTGTGTTGCTTTAATAAATTCTGTCTATGGGTTTCTGAGCGTCGCAACCAGCTCGGACAGCCGAGCAACAACGGCCGTTTTCGCGCTCGAATCGCCGGGCAGCCCTGGTCCAGAGCATTTGTTATTTTAATTGTACACACATATAGTTTCGAGCATCGTTGTTTTTTCACCGTGTGCACTCTGGATTCGAATAAGTTCGCCAAATTAGATCGCAGCACCTCTCGCGCCACGGAAATAAAGGAAATTGGCTGGTCTCGGTTCAAAGGTCGAAGCAACGTTGCTCCTGCTTTCACGCGTATACAGCGAAAACGAGAGATATCTTTATCACTACCACCGGTGTTATCGTCGCCGATCCTCCGACTCGCAACTGGACCGAAGTTCGCGGTGGGAAAATGAAATTTTGCTGATTATTAGAGGAAACAGAACGAACACACGTGTATCTGTGTACTCTGTAGCTGCACGAGTTCTATTCAGTTCGAATAACAGAATGGCTCCGATTACTTTAATCCCGCCTCTGTTCGGTGGATTTGTTAAAACGAGGTCGGTCGAAGCTCGTCCATCGGCAATGAGATTCAACGTGGAACATGCTCGCGAGACTTTTAATCACTATCCCCCGTGGACGGTCTTTGTGTATCTCTGGTGCTCGTTACGCAGTGTCGTCCTGGATGAACCTTGATTGGTCAAGCGGAACGCATTTCACGGCTGAAAATCGTCGCGAGTATAAGCGGAAATGCGTTTGTTCGGAGCAGAAGCTCGATCCTTGATACATGCGTTAACTGTTCCACAGTGAAAAAGGTGGTACGTGGCCAGACACGCGTTATTTCGATTTTTTTTTTTTTTAAGATTACTAATAGACTTAATGTAATGTCCTCTATTTCTACATATCGAGACTCGTCTTAAGTCCATTCAATAGGTCGAAGGTATGTTTCTCGTTGAACTTTTACCGAACAGTTCCAAAGTTACCATTTTTTTGTACCTTTAATTTGCTCTCCTTTAAATTTTGAACTGTGTGACTTAATAAATTCTGGCTCTGGGGTCCAGATATTCAGAATCAATTCCCCTATTTCCTAAGCGCCCGACTGCTTCGTTTCCAATTTTCGTGCACTAATCCAAATTTTTACTGTATAGACACTGAAACGCAATTCCAGTTGCTTTCGATGTAAACTTCCAGTTCATGCCTGAATTTCTAGTTCATCCTCCTAAACTCTCTCTTTTCCTCTCTCCCTCGTTCGTGTTTTATCGGAGAGAAAATAGTAGTGATTTTTATTCGCAGCTGGGTGGACCTCTGGGCAATACCTCGAGGTGGCTCAGATCCGACCGATATTATTTCCCTGGGCTTAATCACCGCGCGACCGAACGACCAATAAATCGTCCCTAATTTGGTTCAAGCACCTCCCGGAATTATCCGTACCAACACACCCGAAGTCTCTCTGGATTATCTCGCCAGCCGAGACTCTCTCTGTCTTTCTCTCTCCCTCACGGCTCTGAAGATATTGCTAGCTCGACGCAGTAAATTAACCTTTAATGCATTCTTGATCGTCCTCGAATATCACGTTAGTCGAATTCGGTTATTCCTGTCGCTCGTGATCGCGTTCGATTTGTCCACCGTCGCGTCACCGTGCCTTCGCACGTGGAATCGTTAACAGCTCGCGAAAGTGTTCCCGCGATAAATGTCTTCTTCGTGGGATCTTTATGGCCATTCCACGATTTTGCAAGTTAATGTGCTTTTAAATCGCCTTTAATACATTTCCCTACCGGCTACCCACCGCCGGAGGAATCCACGATAAATCGACCGATTTAATTTAAATCGACGCGGCTTTAGCGAAGTAAGAATCATTTACGGGCACACTAGATTCTGCTCGAGTTATCTTTCCAGCCATACTCGACTGTCAATTGTATAAATACAAATGAATATTTATTTATTTCATTTAATATAAATAAACAGACATAGCCCTTTTGTACGAAAAATCAGTTACCATAGGATGGAAATGATCAGTGGACTTATATCCTTATTTTGTACAGTCTGTATTGTATTTATTTTTATCGCTATTTCTTTTTGTACCAAAGGGTTTTTCTGTTATCTAAATTAAAGTAAATTATAGCTCGTACAATGGGCCTGGGAAAAAGCCATAAAAACACTCGTTCGACTAGCACACAAGTTGTGTGATTCCGATGAGACTCGATTCTAATAATTATGCAAATTACCCGTGGCGAATCAGATTTCGTGGGTAAAATTCGATTTAAAAATCGAGTTCGAGGAATTTTCATACATTTAAATTGGAACAACGAAAAACATCGAGATAGCGAATTGCAAATGTTCCCTTGTCGAATTCGAGCATTGCGAACAGTAGAATTCATAATTTATTTCAAGCCCAATTTCATAGAACCAATTATGGAAATTTCAGACCATTAAACCGCAGTAGACGGTGGCCAATAAAATCTAAATGATTTTTTCAACTTCTTTCATATGTCATTCAGCACATTCAGACATAAATTGTTAAACACTCTTATACAAGCACTTCTATCCATATTTATACGATCTATACTCACTGAATTGATTATTTTTGTTTTACCTTCTTCTTACTATTCTTTTTCTTCTATTTACTTGTATATATTCTATTTATTTCTTTGTATCTAATTTTCTTATCTAGCACTACTTTCTTTTTGCATATCAGAGGGTTTACCTCGTAAATAAAATCATTATTAAACATTATTATTAAATACAAATAACCAGTGAGGCCAACAATGGTGGATCAGAATAAAAATAATTAACATTTCAATGTATACCGTGTGTCTGTGGTAATTTTCTCGCTGCAAGGGCGAACACATGTACTCGCACACAGACACACACATTTGCAAATGTTGCAATGTCCTTTCTACCGTTCGCGAAATCCGACCGCGGAGAGCTTCGACTAACGCGATTCGAACGCGCGTCATAACGCGACGGCGAAGCGTGTGTGGAGGCGCAATAAATCCATACCGGGCGGCCGGTTTGTATTGATTTCAGATAATGGGCAAGTGGTACGTGGTGGAAGTGTTGGAGCATAAAGGCGATCCCCAGAAACCAGTAAGCGGATCGTACATCGTCGACTCCTGTCCGATTGTCAAGCTGAGGGCCCTCGAGTACTCGTCGTTGAGGCTTCTGTGGACCGAGGAGGCTGGTAACCTCGAGTACACCTTCCGGATACCGGACATATCCAGGAAACCGGGCGTCTGGGTCTCGAGCTCCCAGCAGAACGGTAAGAAATCAGTCGAACACACCAACGCGAGTTCTCTCCTTCGACAGTCTCGAAAGCAGAGTTTCGCAACATTTTTGTCTGAATAAAAATTCCGAATAACGAATAAAAAATAACAAAAGTTTTATTCATTGTACGAAGACGTTTCATTTGTAGCGTCGAAGAAAATTTTCATGTTCGATCTGTATATTTTATTCGAAGACTTAAAGAATAAAGTATCTTTTATTCGAGTCGGTATTTAAATAATTTTTCATCTAAATTATGCCCAACTCTGTTGGGAAGGAAAGCCGGAGTAAAGTATTATTTTCAATAATTCGGGGGTTAACGCGGATAAATTTATTCGATTAATGGTCTTTCAACGCGGCAAACTTAACTTATCGTGGACAATTATTTCCCCGGGGTGGAATAATTCGTGAGTGGCCTGAAAAAACAACGCCACGTTCTGTATCTCCTCTAACTTCGCTTCCTTCTCTCGCGGAAACTCGATAACCGTGAACGGTGGATTGGCAAGTTCTTTCAAAGGCGATTATCATAAACCCGTCGAGCAGCGTAATCGATGAATTTTCGAGGTAAGTTCTTGCGGAATAAATGAAAGGTAAAATTCGATCGATTCGAAGGTACTTGAACTACTTAACGAAATTATGAACGTGCTCTTTATGTCGCTATAATTTCGCCAAAAAACAACACGCATTCAATGAAAGTTTCAGATTCTAGAGGTTATAATTGCATAAAATCCCCAGTCTACTCATGAAAAAGTCAGCATTACACCTGGGGACTTCTCTGATGATTTACTGTAGTTCGATACATTGGTTGTGTTTCTGTGAGATCGTAGCTAGGGAACCTAACTGCGGAATAATTTCGAAACAGAGAGGGGGGAGATACCGTGTGGAGCGCGATTCAGGGGGAATCATCAGCGGAAATCAGGGAATCGGTGGTCTGATTATTGTCTACGACGACTGGGGAATGCCAGAGCGTGCCCTCCCGCTAGAAGATCTGTCGCATTTACCCGCCATTATGTCGTTGACGATGTACTTACGCGGTTGATTGGGAATACGTGGAGACGAAATTATTACAGGACGTCACGTGTCGTGTGCGACTTGTATGGTCTTCTCGTGATTCCATGATTCGATTCACCGATGCTTTTTTATGAGCAACTTTTATGGGATTTTCATTTACAGATTTTCCTCACCGTTATGTTTATCGTCTTTTTGTGATATATTCTTCTTTAAATTTGAAATAATTTTCGCATTTTGGTAAATGATTTGGTGAAATATAAGTGACAGCCTTTCGCGAGTGATTGTATAGTTTGGAGAATGAATATGTCATGCACGTCTAGTACCCTGCCAATCGTAATCACTTCTATAGGGCATACCGATCGCAATATTACAGTGCTGTGCATTAAATCGTTTCACCGTGCAAACGGGTACTACTAGCCTCCCGTGATATTGACGTTTCATCGTATGAGATTAATTGTATCCACTACATGCGAATACGCGAAATTCTGACCGAGAGACAACAACCACCTCGAATAATCGATCGGTTACCATTATACAAGTACCGCTCGGAATTATTCGAACGACATGACTTTTGAAGTTTATGACAATGGTTAGACTACGGTATACATTGTACGGCCCTCAGCCAATGGTACGTATTGTTTAGGGAACAGGACCTATCGTTTTTGTTAGCTGCTTGTTATGAATTCATAATAAAACCAGAATATCAATGTGTCACTGATAGATCGTTTTCGGACCACTATGAACGAATTTTCCACGAATTTCGTACTCGCAATTATAAATTAATATAAATACAAAATTCAGCTTTTTCTTAAGCATTTCTCGTTTGTAATTTTTTCTCTATTCACAATTGGTACCATGAGAAACCAAGTCTTCAGGTGGAGCCCTATACTTCTGGAGGAAATACTGTAAAAAAAAATATCCTTAATCATTTTTCGTTCATCCCTTGACGAAGCAATATTCACTCTAACGTGCTGGAAATACCGAAAGTTGCAGCGATTTCAGTTGAAAAACGTTCTGCAGTGTGTATGTGTATGCATTTTTCGTGCCGAAGGCTACACGATTGGTAATATTTCAAATAAACTAAAGATATCGATGATCAGTGTGTGGAATATCATCAAGAAGAAAGAAACTAATCCCAGAAAAAAGTTTTTTGTGTTTTCTTAAATTGATCCAGGTGTTCGAATACTTTCGAGCGGTACTGTGTTTTATTCATTTTCTACCCGAACAGAATTTCGATTTCAATTTATTTTCCGATAAATATACATAATGGAGCGGGGTAAAGAGTATCAAGAGCGACGGTGTTATAGCTGTTTAATCACATTGAAAAGCACGCGGACGAACGTTCCATCGAACGCTTTTAACCCTTTTAGTACCTTAGAGCCGATATATCGGCTTTGTAGTTGGTTTTCCAAAAAATACATTCAGCCGATATATCGGCTTTCCATTTTTAATATAATTTAAACACATGTAATGATACTTTATTTTTATAAAAGAAGTTTATATAGTGGAACATACGTTCACTGGATAGGAATAACACAATTTTTCAAAAAAGTGAAACTGTCTTCATTTTTAAGAAATTGTGTTAATTGTAATAGATACCTAAAAACTCGCATATTTTTCAAGGGATTTTTGAACGGTTCCTGGAGAAACATATAAGGTACTATAAGGGTTAACAGAGAACACGACGAATTTCAGGACTTGTCCGACCACTAAGTGTTTCCCAGATCAGTGAAATATGCAAAAAATTTATGAATTCCCCGTTATTCCCATCTCGTCCGTAAACTCCCTGACGGTCCGTGTCTCGTGGTATTTTTCGGCCAACGCAATTTCATCGAACAATCGAACGGTCGTTCGTTTAATAAACGTCTTCGAAGATCGAGAATCACGCGACGGGGACGTGATTTCGAAAGGACAAATCTTCGCCGTTGAATCGAACAGAGGGGAACGGGACTTGAAAGGAGCCTCGAGAAAGAGAGAGAGAGAGAGAGATCTCGAGCCGCCGCGATGCATTGTGCGAGCATTCGTACACGAGCCAGAAGAATCTGTCCCACGGAATTAGAAAACGTCCGCAGGAGGGAAACGACGGTAAGAAGGGACTTTTGAAAAATTATTTTCCGCGTCGTCGGCCGCGTTGTCGGATTTCCCGCGGATTTTCCTGACTCTCCCGTCCACCCCCTCTCCGTCAGCCGACGTCCATAATTGGATGGCGACGAGTTCGACGACGACGACGACTTTGGAGCCCATCGCGACGGTCCGACAGTTAACCGATAATCACACCCCGGATACCTGGAATTCATTAAGATCGTCCCCGGGGCCACCTTAGGAGTTTAATTACCGGGGACTTGTTCCCACTTTGTTCGAGTCGGGGGGTCGGTTAATTAACCGTTTATAACGCGGTCGTTTATGGGGAACGGTTCCGTGGAAACGGCGCTTCCCGGACGACGATCACCGTTTGACGAAGAATCGAGTAAATTCAACGCTCGAATCCCTTGGCTCGATTCTCACAGGAGAGAACACACGGGTCTGGAAATCGCTTTCGGAACGGCACTGTGTGGGAAGTTACAGTATTCTACATACAAGGTGTTCAAAAAAAAAAGAAACATTCAATGTTTATACGATAGATTAGTTGTCATCAACTGGCGATTACGGATCTATTTAGTCAACGTATTACCCTAACGAAGAAATGGCAGATATGCGATTTATGTAGAAAAGAAACTAAAAAAAGAAGGTGAAGTGAAGTGGGACACTTTCTATAAATATGGAAAAGCTAGTAGTAAGTCAATAAGGATACTAACATACAAAAATCTGTATACACTGATTCCTCGATGAATGCGATACGAGCAACGGTGTTATTCCCACCACTGGGGCATCCCCCTCTGGAATCAATTTCAAGGTTTTTTTACTCAGTGTGTGTTCTATGTTGTAAATATTGAATGGTTCTTTTTCAACACCCGGTACGTGTACTATAACTTCCACAAAGTACCATTCCAAAAGCGATTTCTATACCCGTGCCATCCTCTTGTCAGTCGCAATCGAGAACCTCTGGAGGTAGATGTTTCCGAAGAGACCAGAGGGAGGAATTCACGGATGACAGTAGTTTCCTAGTAATGTTTTTAAGCAACAAATTGCTGTTAGACGTTAACAAGCGTTCGAAGCTGCTAAGACCACCCAGCAGGTTCGAGACGAACGTGTGCACGGTGTATATACGGAGAGTTCGAAGGGTTCAAGGTTTCGTAGAACGGATGGAAACTTCAAACTAATCAAGATCTTGTACAGACCTAATTCAGCCGAGTTACGCCTAATCCGGAGACTTACTCGGAACCAACTCGGATCCAACCCCCCTGAACTCTGTTATGCCAGAGGTTTATGCTGCGAAAGTTTCGTATCAGTTGTGTGTATTCTCGCTCGGGAATACCTGCTTGTATCGGTTTTAATCGTCGGTCTCTTAACTTCAGTTCCACTCTGTTTCGTGCACCTCTCATTGTCCTATTGCATTCGCGCGGTTCATCGATCGCTGCCTAACTAGAATCGAGGTTCTCTCTATATATCTATCTTTTCCTCTCTCTGGGATCAAATGGACAACTGGGAAACACAATTGTTACGATAGATATCACTGTATGTACAGTAAATCCCCAATAAGTGTTCGAAAGCTCCTCGACAGGTGTAACGCTGACTTTTTAATGAAATTCAGCACCGTGACAGAGCTTGACATTTAGAAACCAATGAAATTTGTTTCAGTCGCATATGGCCATTTATGGAATATTTAATATTCAGTGCCAAGGAGCCTTCGGACACTCATCGAGGATTTATTGTACGTATACTGTAATCGTCCGATCTGTTTGTCAACAGGAACACTCGCTACCTCGAGAGACCGGAAGTACAACCAGTTCACCGGTACGGTGAACGTGATGAAGGCGGTCGCCTCGGACATGGTTCTGACATTCTGCTCGGGCCGACCGGACAATCAGCTGTACTCGTTGCTGCTCGCACGCGAGCACATACTGCAGAAGAGCGACAAACGTGGCGTCCATAATCTTCTCGGTCGTCGAGGCTTGAAGATCGTCAGCATCCGTGAGACTTGTATGAACAACGCCGGCCAGACCGGTGGATCGTTTCAGCTGATCGGTTGGCTGACGTTCATGGGCGTGCTGTCCACTGGCTTGCTGTCAGGTCGATGGTAGTGGCCGAAACCTCTCAACGTCACTCTGAAGAAGCTTCCAAAGAAGATATCTGCATTGCCTGAAGAATCTCCGAGTTCTCGACACTCACGTGGTGATCGAGGGTAGGCGACGGAAGATCTTAGAGGGGAAAGTATCGTCTACCACGAAAACGAGGAAGCTTCTTCGACCGACCTGAGGATAACACCGCCGTTTTAATCTTTCTCGCGTCTATTTCGTAAAAGGAGACGGACGGCCCTCCAGGGGAGAGCGAGAGAGAACGTTATAGCGTCTGGGAGCATCTGTTACGAAGAGACAGGTCGTTAAACGACCTCTAGTCGATATATCAGGACCATCACCCCTCTTGGGTCCCTCTCTTTTGATCGCGGAAGAAAGGCCCCTTAATTGCCGACGCGGCTAACGATTCCTCCACTCTCGTATCTGTCCATTCCACTCCGGAATCAAGCTTCTAGGCGAAATCGTAATAAGAATCTCGGTTCGGTTTGTCCGACCGGGGAGAACACGCTGGGACACAAACCACTACCGCAGAATCTCGATGCCAGAAACACGTCCCACGTCGCTGCTGGTGTGGTTGCGTCGTTCGTAACTACGGAAAGAGAGAAAAGGGGCACACAATCACCGAACTACTGCTCGCTAGTCGTCAACGAATTCCTGTTTCTCGAAAGAAGGGGGAATAATGTAATTTCCACCCTTGTACCGAGATCCGTTGGACGGTCCATCTCGTTTCGTTTCGTTTTGTCGCGCCTCGAGTCCACGTATAGGTATTTTCCCGTTGCCCCAGTTCTTTCTGTTGCCGTTTTATCACGATACCGTTTCTCTTTACCACCTCGACGGAATTGTCCCTCGAGCTTCTACTTCTCGACTGGAAACAGATGATGGACCCGAGGCTCGATAAAAACCTCCGTGTATTTATATATTAGCCGCGTCGAAGAAAGGGGATTTATTCGAGTGTTCAGGGTTCCTCGCGGATCGAGACTCTTTCAGGCCTGGATCTAGTTAATTCGATTATTTTTCTGTTTTTTTTTTTAACTAACCGTTTTCATTGTATCCCGTTTCGTTTTCTGCATTTTTAACCTTTGTCATAAACGGCAGCTGGGTCAATCGTGGCCCGTAGCAACATCTCGAAATATACCGTTTCGTCGATGTATAAGAAGTTAAGTGATCTGTTGATTTTGTTTCGTCGTACCAATTCCGAATAATGAGAGGACTGTATGGTCGTGGAACGACAAACATATCAGTGCATCAGTTATCCTTAAAGCTCGAGGGATAGCTTCGAGAGGATGAACGAAACGAACAAAAAGCACAATGGAGAAATTTTGTTTGAAAATAATTATCCACGAGACGTGTCAGGCAATGCTACAGCCGTGGGCTGAAAGAGTCGATCGCGGCCCGTTGTTCTTCCAACTGAAAAAGATTAATCCTCGTACGGAAAGCAAACGAGCTTCCCCGAGAGGACATTTAGTCACGTTAGAAGTGCATGTTGTATGTATCTCGGTTCGTGAATTTATGAAGACAATAGCGAATGTCGAAACGATATACAGGGTGTACCAAAAAGACGAATACCCAAGATTAAATGTTAGATACAAAACAGTTTTAGGATTTAAAAAGATGCATTTGATGGTGACCTTGATCTATATCAATAGGAGTCAAGTTTAAAGGTCGTTTTGAGGTCAATTCAACTTTTTCAAACGGGAACCCCCATTTCTAGTACCAAAAATGGAAAGAACGGAAAACTTTCAGATATGTAGTCACCTCCTTGGATCGAAATAACCTAAGGGACCTAAAATGCCCTCTAGAGGTCGTTTGAAAGTCAAATCGTTGTTCGTACAGAGACACCACATTCAAAGTCGAGAGAATGCAGTTTCTGAAGAAAATATTTGATACAAAAGCTTTACGGTTTAGAACCATCAGATGCCTCTTTTTAAACTCTAAAACTTTTGTATCAAACATTTTTCACTAAAATTCAATTCTTCCAAGTTAATCTAGGGTACTCGTCTTTTTGGTAGACCCTGTATATGATCGTGTTCTTCTATGAAGATCGATACAGTAGCACATTGTTAAGATTCATCTACTGTCTCTCGTTCAAACAAGCGCGGAGGAGAGAATGTTACCAAAGAAATCCGAAGACGTTTGATTCATAACATAATTATAACATTTCGTCCGCGCGATTCACAAAGGACAACAAAAGAATACAGGATTCATACGTGAGACGATCGACCCTTGAAATTCGTATAAAAAAAGAAACGTAATATTCGTGGTCTCAGCTATTCCTCGTTTAATCGAGGAGATACAAGCATTTCGAAACGGTCGCATCACGATCTATCCTGTACGTCTTTTCACTTCCGGCTCTCGTTTAGACGTAAACAAGTTTCGACTTTAACCGTAAGCTACCAATTATAGGCTCTCTGACATTTGGGGGAGTTAAAAGGAACAGCGTTGCACGATCGTGTAAAATAATTTCGTTAGATGTTATTCTTGTGTCGCTTGGGAGCTCGAGTTCCTTGCCCGAGCGACCCAAAAACGGTTTTCGATCGAAGTCGAGGGTTGTAGCCCCGTGTGTCGTTCATTACACAGATCTCGGCACTCGCTTTTCACAAAACAAGGGGGAATAATCAATATTCACACGTCGCTGAATCGTATCGTTTTATACACAATTTACAAAGGATTCGTTCAGACGATCTTTTTTATATATGGTACCATTCGATTATTACAGGTTTTTGCGTACTCTGTCCATTTTTATACGAACTTACACGCGAAATTCTTATTGTGAACAGTTTCCACACACACGTTTTCTATACGATATTCCATTTGAATGCCAGTTAGCACGTCCCCCCGCCTGTGGGAGTTACCGTGTACGTTATAATCGCGGAACAACTGATCCGATATGTAATGAGCCAAACGCAGGTCGAATTACCAGATGACAGAGCATTCGTGTAGCAAAATTTATGGGACGTAGACACCATGTGATTCACAATACCGACATTTGAAGCTGCCAACTTTGCAATTGAAACAGATTTCGAACAGACTTTGCAATTGAAACAGATTTTGAACGGATTTTGGCCCACAGGTGGCATGGTGGCCGCTTTTATCGCGCGTTACGTATGTATTTTCGTAATATTTCACAGAGCAAGCGAACGCGTTCCAGTGTAGCGCGAGACGTTTTAATGCGTTTTTGTAAAGTTCGCTGCTTCTCGCGCCGATGCGATTACATCCGACAAAAGTAAGTGAGAACATGTTACTGATTAATTTTTAAAATTGATGGCAGAGACTCGTGTCCTGTATATACATACACATACAGGGTGGGTCAATAAGAACTACTATCTAAAACAATTCGTTGCCTATTGGTTGTATGAGAAAACGTTTCAATGAATTATGTAACATTTTAAAGGAATCCATCAAATGGATACAATTTGATTTTTTTTTACTTTATTTTATTTGGAGATATCAAGGTGATCTTGAGTTTTTTCAAGGTCAACGCATCTTTTCTGTAATACCTTCGTATAAAGGTCGCTGAATTAGTCCATTCAATGACAATAACGTGGTATTAAAGAAAAGATCCATTTATCTTGAAGAAACTTAAGGTCACTTTGATATCTCAAAAAAAATTAGATATAAAAAAAATCAAGTTATATCCATCCGATGTAGTTTTTAAAATACTACATAATTCATTGACACGTCTTCTGATACAACCAATAAGTAACGAGTTATTTTAGGTAGTAGTTCTTATTCACTCAGTTTGTATATCTTCTCGGATCGAGTTGCCTGTTGTGTAGTCGCAGAGCATCGACGAGTATTTGAAAATGACGATATACGTACGGGGAACTCGTTAAATTAATTGTATGTACACACTTGACGGCAATCGCGAAAGAGAGAGTGTGATAGAGAGAGAGAGAGAGAGAGAGAGAGAGAGAGAGAAAGATAGAGTGTACGCCATGTTATGTTTAAAATGCTCTAGAGTCTTTATTTATTGTACAAAACGCGTACCTAATCTAGTACCTAATACGATGTAATCGTATGCTTATTATGTGTATAAATATGAAAAAAAAAAAAAAACAAACAATAAAGAATGACTTCGACGGTTTCCAGGGATCTTTCTATGTAACTTCTACGTTCGTCCTATCGCATCTTGATTCGTTCACCATTAACAACAGATGGATCTCAAGAAGCCTAATAAAACACGCTGACAGAGTGAACAATACGATCACTGATACGGACATACAGGGTGAGTCAATAAGAACTACTATCTAAAATGACTCATTAAATATTAGTTGTATCAAAAGACGTTTTGATGAATTATATAGCATTTTGAGGATCGCATCGGTTGGATATAATTTGATTCCACTATCTTTCTTTTCGAGATATCAAGGTGACCTTGAGTTTCTTCAAGGTCAATACATCTTTTTTTGATCGTATTAAAAAAAAAAGATCCATTGACCTTGAAGAAGCTCACGATCACCTTGATATCTCGAAAAAAAAAAAAGAATTAAAACGTTTTCTGATACAATCAATATGTACTGAATTATTTTAGATAGTAATTCTGATTGACTCACCCCGTATACTTCACTCGTCACCGCGAGCGCTTTACGAACGACCGCATAAAGCTCGAGGAAGGGGCAGGGGGAGATGGGTGAGGAGAACGAAAGAAGTAACGAGATCGCATTAGCGCATGAGTCTTGAATACTAAAAAGCTCGCGGAAGAATCAAGGGGTAGAAAGCTTTCGGCGTTACGTAACGCGGCGCCTGTGTACCGCAGGAGACGACTTCTATTCCCATGACGAAAGATTTAATCGCGGGAGAGGAAGGTGCCACCGCACCGAACCCTACCTGCTGCCAACCTTACCCGTACAGTTAGAAATTAGGTGGATTGGCGAGGCAGGGAACGGGATCATCCAGGAAGACCGATAATTAAGGTTAATTTCGCAATTAACCCCATCCACCGCCACCGGAACAAAACGCCCGCAAATATACAGGGCGTCCCATTTAAGTGTGACTCCACCCAGAAT